TTTGGCAAAGAGGCAGAGCTGCAGAAGTGTGGTGGGGGTGTTCGGCAGCAGGCGAGTCGGGGAGGTCCTGTTCGGATGCCGCCCGCTCGCACGCACGCTCCACAAGAGCCCTGGAGGGGCGACACATCTCCCCATACACTCCCCTCATCTCCCACGGCATCGATTCTCCTGTTCGCAGACTTCGCCCACGTTGTCTTCCGCAGTGTTGAGACCAGTTCCTGTTTAAGCGCTTAACCTTGGGATGTACAGTAGCTTTATTGGTGATCAGCATTGTAACTGGACTCTTTCAGAAATCGCTTTGATCTCTGCCTGAAACCAGTTAATGCCACATAAAAGGACCAACATAGTCTCCGCCTGTAGCATAGAGTCTAGCTTGTCATGGGTAACCTCAGCTCTGACCAGTCCCTTGGTATGATAGTGAACCCGCTGGAACGAGCAGAGATGCTTGAGCTGCTGAGCCCTTCTAGTTTTTAAGAAAAGCTGAGAATGTACCAGTGCACATCTGGCTCTCAGCTTATAGGGATATTTGATAAATCTCTTTGCTTCATTAAACAGCGCCACAGTATACTTGTCTATCTACATGAAGGTTTTTTTCACGCCGCAGCAGCATAAGATTTGTACCAAAATATCTTCAATACGTTGCTGATAAACATTCTGATCTTTTCACCTATTTCTCCGAGTGATCTTTTTTTTTTTTTGCCACGGGATAAGATCTTAATTAAACCTGACATGCAAAGTGCTTTTCTCATGGAACGATTTATTTTCCTTTGACCTCTTCTGCTGGAAGGTTGTAAGGTGGAAGTGATGTCATAGAGCTTGAACTGCAGACATCTGCTGTAGATCAGAACTAGTGTGTTTCTGAATGCTTCAGGATCCAGGTTCTCAGAGGAACAAGACATAACTGGATGCTGCACTGCAGTGTGAGCTTTCAGCTGTCATTGCAGAATAACTCCTTCTTACTTCTGTTCTATTTTAGGATATGATCTCTTGATCTTGTGGCTTGCGTGTTATCCAGTGCCGCTGTAAGTGATTAAGCAGGTAGACCAAAGTCTTTCTATAGTACCACAACCAGAAAGTCCTTGAGGAGAAAATCCATATTTACAGAGGGTCTCCACAGTTCATAGTTTTATTTTCAATAAAGTCAGCTCAGGGGCCGTACCCAAATAAAACATTTGGAATTTACTGAAGGAGGAAAAGAAACACAGGTACAATTACCAATCTGCCAGGACCGCCTCTGCCAAGAAAAACATCTGTGTTGATGACAGAAAAATGATCAGATCTGCAGAGCAAAACCTAAAAACCAAACAACTGTCAGTGAAATCATCCATAACCTCCAGAGTGCAGGGTGAAGGGTTTACCACTCCATCCACAGTTAACAGAAGATTAGGGCAGCAGAATTACAGTGGCTGCACCACAAGATGACAACCTTTCATCAGCACCAAGAATGGAAAGGCCAGGATAGAATTTACTGAGAAGTACAGAAATGAGCCTGGAGAGGTTTTGGAACAATGTTTTGTGGACAGATGAGACCAAGATGAACTTTTACCTAAGTGATGGAAAGGTTAAAGTGTGGAGAATTCAAGGAACTGAAGATATTCCAAAGAACAGCACCCCATCCGTGAAGCCAGGTGGAGGTAAAGTCATGGCCTGGGCATCTGTGGCTTTCTCTGGAACTGGCTGACTCATCTTTATTGATGGCAGCATTAGGAAGTTGACTCAAAAAAGTTGTCTGGTTCTGTGGAAGAAAAGGCTTCCAGTTCACCCAAGAAGCCCTTCAAAGTCGCTTTCCTGATTTAAATGTAATTGAACAGTATTTTACATGCTCAAGAAAAAGCTGAAAACTGAAAATTCGCGAAGCACCAGAATGGGTAAAAATTCAAAGTGCCTGCAGCAAATCATCTCAAATAGTTACTCAATGATTGGAGAGCCCAGCGGGTCACAGACGTGCTGTTACTGTCTCTAAAATGGCATTTGACTTTGCTGTCCCAGTACTTTTGGAAGGCACTGTATAAGGCTGCAGAAAGACTTGTTTTTTGCAGTATGTACTGTGTATTAAATGTGTTTAATTCTGTAGTACGTACAAGAATTTATGAAAAAAAAGTCCAGGCACAAAACATCAATGAATAGTTTTCATTTTCTTAGTCTCATTTAAACTGTGAAAAGATAAAAGGAAATATAACTTGGGGCTCAACCTCTGTTTGACCCGTTCTGTCGACAGCCAGCTGTGACTTTATTCCCCAAGCAGCAGCAGGGCTACTCTAGGTAGAGTAGGACTGGTCAACTGTGACGTCACTGCAAGCTCTCAGGATTGCACTGATGTCACAAAGGAACAATGATGTCACAAAGGAACAGTGATGTCACAAAGGAACATGCTGTTCCTCCAATCAGGGCCAACTCTCCTAACCAATGCTGTGGAATTCAAGGTGTGTCACAAAGACTAATGGCCAAGGGATGGGTGGATCTTTGGAGCATGTCTGCTCGTTCTTGTTCAGCAGTTACGGGAAATGTTGCATGAAATATCAGTTGCATGTCTTCATCAGTCCTGTAAAGTAATTTTAATTTAACTAGGTCCATGTTAACATTAAATCTTACCACCAGATCTGCACAATTATTCACAAAAGTCTAGTGCTCTGTGTTAGTCTTCCATCACAGTGTTGCCCCTACCTCGGTCCCTGCCTCTGGTCTCATGTGCCCATGAACCCATGTACCCTGATATGGTACAAATGTGTGGCGTTAATAATGGGAAAAGTCTACACCTGGTTACTGAATGTAAAATGCAATGTGGGGGAAAATTGTGTTGATTTTTCGCCAACACTGTTTTTTATCTAGAAGAAACAGTAGCATTTTCAGGCTCTTATTCGGTGAGGAAAAATTAATACCTCCTAAATTCATATTTTTGTTTACCAAAAAAAAAAAGTGCAGGAGCTCAAGGCTGTTTTGTTCCTTTTATTTTGTGGTCTGAAAAAGTAGAATCATATAAAATCTTAATTTAACATCCTCAAATGTAGACAAGCTGAAAAAAAAACATGATGTTATCTTGTAAAACCTTGTGATTGTTTTATCGAAGAAAAATAACGGTGTTTTAGTTCAGTGGGTTTAGTCAGTTTGTAGGCAGTGTGGCTCTGCTCTTCAGAGTCCCAGAAAAATAGTGGAGTTGATTTCAGGTGATGAGGGATAATGGCATGATTTATAAGTGCATTCACATGCCTGTCTTACAAATTACTTCTTGGCAGACAAAACCTTTCTTTCGCTGCATACCAGCATTACCTCCATACCTAAACTGAGAGGCTGAAGGACCCGAACCTTTTTATCCTTGGACAGAGAAGACTATGAAGGGGACCTGATACAAGTATTCAAAATCCTCAAAGACATAAACACAGTCAACCTAGTGGGCTTCTACAGCACAAGCAGTGAAACACGAACCAGAGGGCACAAGTTACTGCATGAAAACCTGGAACAGGAGACACTGCTTTTTCCAAAGGGTGGTGGGAGTGTGGAACAGCTGCCCAGTCATGCTGTTGAAGCCATTACCCTGCTTTCTCTCAGGAAACAGATGCATGAGATCCTGGGACCACTTAACTACAAATTCCGAAAGAGCTGAATAGCCTCTCAACTGTAACTTTGATCCCCTTCGTATGTTCTTCACATTGTTTAGCTGCAGACCTCAGTGCAGTTTGAGTGTTTTACAGTGTACATACAGTACGTGCAACTTTTTAACATTTCCAATGTGCAGTATATCTAAATTAATTGTGGTATTTCATGTTGCGTTTTTCGAAATGTAAATGACCAAAACATTGAAATTTAAGTTTTAATTAAATCAAGCTTCCGGCTGAGTTCAAATTGATCTCTGGCCTTGTGCACCTGGTTCAACCTGGAGGGTGTCCTGCTGGGAGGACCTAGGAATCACTTCTCAGTGTAGATTAGCTGCCCTGCGTCCTGCCTGTTCTGGACAGGCCTGCTCTTGTCCCCATGGAGCGGGTGGGTCTTGCATAATAACCCATCCCTCTGAATATTGGAGAAGGTCGGTTTTGTGATGTGTCCAGAACTCTGCAGCTAAACGTCAACATCTCTGCAATGGCTGTCTGTAAAGTCACGCATTAAGATCTTGTTACTGACTTTCAAGGCTCTAAATAGTTTGGCTCCATCCTTCACCTCTGAGCTCCTCCATGGTCACACCCCCTCCTGTAGGCTCCACTGGTGCTCTGCTCACTGTGCCGGGTACTGAATCTCAGGCCAGCCGTGTCGACACGGGAAAAACACACTGCTGGAGTGGGGTAGTTACAGTAAAATACAGCGCTGCAGTGGGGTAGTTACAGTATAATACAGCCCTGCAGTGGAGTAGTTACAGTATAATACAGCCCTGCAGTGGGGTAGTTACAGTATATAACAGTGCCGCAAAGGGGTAGTTACAGTATATTACAGCGCTTGAGTGGGGTAGTTATTGTACGCTACAGTGCTGCAGTGGGGTAGTTACAGTATGTTACAGCGCTGCAGTGGGGTAGTTACAGTATGTTACAGCGCTGCAGTGGGGTAGTTACAGTATAATACAGCGCTGCAGTGGGGTAGTTACAGTATAATACAGCCCTGCAGTGGGGTAGATACAGTATATAACAGTGCCGCAAAGGGGTAGTTACAGTATATTACAGTGCTGGAGTGGGGTAGTTATTGTACGCTACAGCGCTGCAGTGGGGGTAGTTACAGTATGTTACAGCGCTGCAGTGGGGTAGTTACAGTATATTACAGCGCTGGAGTGGGGTAGTTATTGTACGCTACAGCGCTGCAAAGGGGTAGTTACAGTATGTTACAGTGCCGCAGTGGGGGTAGTTACAGTATGTTACAGCGCTGCAGTGGGGTAGTTACAGTATGTTACAGCGCTGCAGTGGGGTAGTTACAGTATGTTACAGTGCCGCAGTGGGGTAGTTACAGTATGTTACAGCACTGCAGTGGGGCAGAAGCGGGTGAGGACACAATCCTGGTGACGCTCTCGTACTCCCCTGCAGGGTCGGTGCTGCTGCAGCAGCAGGACAGCGAGGGCCGGACGCCGCTGGACCGCGTGGACTGCCCGGCGCTCAGAGAGGAGCTCG